TCTAATTTTCAGTAAGTTTTTGTTTCTGCATTTTTTCCTTTATACCAATTTTAAGGAAAAATGGGTTTACAAGTGTTTTCTATTGCCCTAGTTACAAGTGAGTAATTTGCTTACATTGCTCATGGCTATTTAGTATTAAATAAATAAATACATTTTAAAAGTTTAATATAGTTTTGTGGTCCGGCCTGGAAGATGGTTTGGAGGAAACCTGAATATTTAATCTCTTCTTTCACCTCCAGCAGTTTTTGGGTCTTAATGTTTTGTCAGTGAAGCAAAGGAAGGGCCCAGGGGCCCCTTGTTGGGCTGTGCTCAGGGCACCAGTGGCCCTTAATCCGGCTCTGCTTTGGCACCAGAAGGCTGGGATCTCATCCCCAAAGATCAGCATTGTCAAAGCTGAGTCGAGGGTGCAGCTCTGAATCTTCCCATCTTCCTGAATTCCTCTCTCTGGGTGGCAGGGAGGCATTTTTAAAATGAACTTCAAGGTCTGCACACCTCCCCTCTAAAGCACCGCCTCCATGTTATTTCCTGGGAGGTCTAAGGACCTAAATGGATCAACTTCCTTCACCTCCCATCACCAGTTCCCCTCAAAGAGCAATTCTGTATTCCAGATACTCTGGAGATTTCTTGAATCTGCAATGGACTAAAATAGACATTTCATCATGTACAAACCAACATTTCTAGCTTATTTTATGTTATTTTATTTTCACTTGTAACTTCTGACATACTCAGCCAAGTCTGCTGATTATATGACATCAGTATCAAAGGGCACTTCTGAATGTGGTCTTGATCATGCAATCAATCCATCTTATGTAGGGAATGTAATAAGAGTCAGTGAACATGATGCTTCATTCAGACCCTCTCGTTTTTATCCACCACTATTTTATGTTCTTTGCTTTGTTCCAAACTCATTTCAGTTGGGGAAGCAAACTATGACCCTTGGTCAACAATGAGGTCGATGACATGGTCAAAGGCTGTGATGTGCCCAGTGCCTCTTGGCCACTTAGCTTGCTGGGGGCGGGCCCCTTCCCTCCCATAACTTGGGCATGCCCCCATTGCTGTTTGGGCTTCGCCCACAGACCCCTGGCTTCTGCAGGGGCGTCTGCGTCTACATCATCCATGTAAAGGAGGTGGGATAGCCTGGCAGATGTGTTTGATGTTTGATAGCCATGGCCTGACTTGTTCAGTATTGTTGACAGAGAAATCAATGCAA